ACACAGCCCACACTAGGGTTCTGGTTCCCTCCCTGGAGGCCTGGGTTTGGCCCTCCCAGCGCCTCTCTGGAGCCCTCCCCACGCCCAAAGGCCGGCCACCCCAACCCCAACCCCAGCCGATGGTCAGGCTCCTGGGCCTCCACTCTCACTATGATCTGCATCCCCACGCCGCGCTGTGGAGGCTTCCAGGTCATTTCATTTTAATCAGCTCTGCCTCTCAGTGGGGATAATCAGCTGCGCTGGCCCAGGCAGTCGATTCCACAGGATTCAAGGAGAGCAAGAGAAGGGGCTGTGTTGGGGCTCAGGACCACCGCTGGGATAGGGGGAGGAAGAGGTGAACAGGCCGGAAGGGATAGACTAGGCTAACTTCCCTCAGGCAGGCGGCTTTGAGGAGTCCATCACTTTGAGACAGATTTTCCCAGTTTCAAACCCCTTTCTGCCAGTGCAGGGTTCTGGTGCAACCCCAGATGGATATTGTTTTTATTTGAGAGAGGTCGGAACGAAGGGAATACCCGCACACTGGCTGCTATTCTGCAGGCCCCTCACACACTAGAGGAGGCTGCCGCAGTAGGAAGAGGCCTATGTGCACAGGCTCTGAGGCAGAGGTGCAGGCTGAGGCGCCGGATGCGGCCCCAGGCGGAAGCATGGAGCACCGGGGCAGTGTGTGCCAATGCCCTGGCATAGCAGCAGGCGAGGAGCTGGCCCACAGACTGCCAGAGGCCAGACAGAGGGGATGAAAGGTAAAAGCTGAGGCCTGCTTGCTCAGCCTGAGGAGGTGAGGAGGCCCCCTTGAGAGTCCACCACATGGCACCGCCACACCCACCACAGAAGGCACCATCTGCAACACTCCCAGGCTGCGTGAGCTCCGCACAGGGTATAGGGTGGCTTTTCAGTCCCCAGAACTACAGCCAAGCCTTGCCCTGCAGCTCTGCCCCACGGCCCCTAGGATGCTGAGGGACCCCGAAAAAAGAATGGACATGCAGCTGATAAAGGAGATCTGGAGCCGAAACCGGTTTGGCTCAGTGGATAGCGCGTCGGCCTGCGGACTGAAGGGTCCCGGGTTCGATTCCGGTCAAGGGCATGTACCTTGGCTGCGGGCACATCCCCAGTAGGGGGTGTGCAAGAGGCAGCTGGTTGATGTTTCTTTCTCATCGACATTTCTAGCTCTCTATCCCTCTTCCTTCCTCTCTGTAAAAATCAATAAAATATATTAAAAAAAAAAAAAAAAAAAAAGGAGATCTGGAGAAAAAGGGGCCTCTTTTCCCTCACGCCGATGTTTAAAGCGGCAGGGGCAGATCCAGTGTCACAGCCTCAGCCACAGCATATCAGGGCAAAGGGTGGACTGGGAGGCCAGAGAGCCCAACTCCCTTCCGCCCTCCAGTCAAAGCATACCCATTCCTGGACGGGACAGGAAGGTCCATTAGGGTGGTCATATCTGAGGGAACTTACAAGGGAAACCGCACAGGTCCACACCAGAACCCCACAAGACACATGTCCGGTGCACAGAAAGACCCTGCACGCACAGCGTCCCTGAGGTGTACTAAAGCCACTGCCTGCAGAATTAGGTACGTTTAAGCTTCCCAACCCACACACAAGCACTTACACTACAGGCTACATACATGAAAAGACAGAGTGAACACACACGGATGCATTGTACACACATGTATATCAATCATCTCTCTCTCTCTCTCTCTCTCTCACACACACACACACACACACTTCATATGCAGACCTGGCTTTCATGGTGGAAGCCCAGCATTCAGAATGGCACACCTCTCACAATGAGCACTCGTGCCTCTTCTGTGGGAATCTGTAGGCAAGGTCAGAAAGGGCAGAGTAGAGTGTTTGTATGTGCACAGGCCTGGGTAGAAACATAGGCAACGAGAGAGAGAGAGAGAGAGAGAGAGAGAGAGAGAGAGAGAGAGAGAGAGAGAGATATGACAGATAGTGAGGCAGACCAATAGCTGGTGGGTGACACCCAGCAGGGCCTAGGCCTCCAGAACGAAGGCTGCTGGGGGTCTGACAGCCTCCTGTCTGCAGTGGAGGAGGCATAGGCACTGGATGCCCCGAACTTGCTTTCCCCATAGGATATGCTGAGGGAGGGGTTTTAATCCCACGAGTTTGACCCCTGTCCCCAGCCAAAAAGGCATCTGCTCTCTAGTGAGTGTCAGTAGTCAAGGCCCCTCCAGGAGTCACTCCTCAGCCTGACCCGCCTTTCCTTCCACCCCACCAATTCTGGGTAGGCAGTTGAGTGGGGTGGGGTCCATCCAGATGCTCCCCACTGTCTGAGGCAGCCACTTCTCTGGGTTGACACATTCAAAATATGGGTAAGTGACATGCCATTTAAAAAACAAGCGTAGGGGACACGTCCCCTCATCCAGGACATCACTCTGTGCACCAGAACAGAGGCTCAAGTTGGGTAGAATGCAGGAAGCCCCTTCTCCAAATGCTTTCCACCCAGGTCAACATCTCCTGGACCCTGGCATCGGGAGGACCGTTTTCCGGGGCAGTAAACATGCGCAGAGGTTCTGACAGAAATTGGAGAACCTGGAGGTTGTCTGGATGCCCTGGCTTTGAATGAGAGGCTGGCAGAAACCTTCTGCTACACGAAAACAAGGGCCTTTGGGCACACAAGGTCCTACTGGCAAGCCCAAGGCACCTGTGGGTCTGGCCCCCGCTCTGTCCAGCACAGTCTGCATAAACCCCACGGTGCTGCCAGTGATGGAGACAAAAGGGAACCGGAAGTCAAAGTTTAGACACAGGCGCAGAATTCCAGGCGCGGTATGGTTCTCCCTAATCCTCTTTGCTTTGGAAATTGGACTTTCAAGTGAAGGCAGGTTTTCTAAAATTGCCTCTTTGGCTCCTCCCCGGGCCCTGGCCGGCCTGGCACAGCCCAGAGTGGAGGCACCAGCAGTCACACCATCGCTGGGAACCTTGGGGACCCTACCCTGGGCAGAGAGGCCTGGGCCAGGGGGCCAGGTTAGCAAAACGAGGTGACTTTTTGGTTTTCATTTTAAAGTGTAAATCGACTCTGAAATGTCTGGGGCCTTTAGGGAGTCCAGAAAAATCCCAAAAGACGGAAAGAAGTTGCAAGGGTGACGGATTGAGTCCCATAAGCCAAGTTGTCCAGTCACACAGATGCACACACCGGCGGTGAGACGGGGATCCATCCAGATTCTAGACCCTAAACCCCTCAGACTCCTTTTGCTTTGCTCTCCCTCCCCTCCTCATGTTGCACCCACCCCAAAAGAAGACAAAAACCCGGTCATCTACGCTCTGGGTGTGTGCTTAGATTTGGTGATCTTGTGTGTTTCTCTTAAAAAAAAAAAAAAAAAAAAAAAAAGCAACAACAACCAAAAGCTGCCAAACACTCCCCCAAGGACCCAGAAGGGCCGGGGGAGGCAGGCTCAGTTCCTGGGGAACAATTCCTGGGAACCGGGGCCTGGCAGCTAGCACTGAAGAAACTGGCCACAGCCTCCTCCCCCAATGCCCTCTCTGCCTTTCCCGCTCAGGGTTTGGCTTTGGTTCTTTTCCGAAGGGCCCATTTTCTCCCCTCCCTTCTCCCGGAGAAATGCTCAGACCCAGCTTTAAAATTCTGCCCCAGCTCTGGCTGCGTATCTGGAGTGGAGGGAAGGCCGGGCTACAGCACCCCCAGGGTGCAGCGCCGGGATTCGGCCCAGGGGCGGACAAAAACACCAATCTCCAGGGGTAATAAGAAAATGGAGAATACTGTATTTGCTTTAGAAAGTTTTTACATATAGATAAACACGCAGTTAAGATAACAGTAAAAGCACTCTACGGGGAGTGAGAGATATCGCCAAAGCAGCTAGGAGATACTTGAAATAGCGTTTGCTTAAGCATACTACGGTCTCACTCGCCGCTTTTGCTGTTGACGGGGTCCCTCTTCCTACCCCAGCCCGGAAGAGCACGCCTGAAACACCCAACGGGAGAGGAACCCCCAAAAGCAAAGAGGTGAGCGGGGGAGGGGGGAGAAGGAGGGAGAAGAAGAGAGAAAGAAAGGGGAAGGGAGAGGAGAAAAAGCAATTATCATATACAGGCAATTTCTACACATATATTACAAACTGGGAAAATGACCAATCATTAAGATATACATAATTCATATAAAATTTTGAAATAAAAATAAAAATCTGTTACAGTCATAACTATTCTTTTTCCACATTTATAACCAGTACCCACACAGGCAGTGACAGAGTGGAGAGAAAAAGGTGCTTACGAAGAAAATGATTGTCTGCTGAACAAAAAAACAGAAAATTGCATCTTGTCTGACCAATACTTGGACTTAAAAACAGGAGAGAGGGAGAGAAAGAGAGAGAGAGGAGAAAAGAGAGAGAGAGCAACAAAAGGCAAGAAACATTTCCCTCTCCAGGAGTTCTTTCTTTTTAAACAAATTCCGAAAGGAGATGGCGGTTTTATTTTTTTTTCCTCTTTTTTTTTTTTTTGTCTCTTTTGCTTTTGTTGTCTTGTCATCATGGTGGTGGCTTTTGTACAGTCGACTCTTTTTTTAAACCGTTTTAAACTAGAGAGAATATTTTCCCAGATACAAATAAATCGTCATGCAGGTGGGGTGCCGGGTCCGTGGGAACCGAAAGGAGAAGCCGTGCGTGTCCTAGAAAGTATACAATGGTCACGTCTTTTATGTTGTCTGCCCACAACAACAGCGCTTGTGGCTGTCTGTTGACCATAGCAGTCCTCTGGGGTGGCCGAGATGGTGAATGGTGGTTGGGGGGTTGCTGATGGTTTGCGTTCAAACTCTTTTTTCTTGTGTTTTTTTTTTAAATATATATTTTTGGCTGGGGTGGGAGTGAGTGCGCGCACGCGCGCGCGCGCGTGTGTGTGTGTGTGTGTGTGTGTGTGTGTGTGTGATGGTTCGTCCTGATACCGGTTTGTTCTGGGGCTGGAGGAGGAGGACGAGGAGGTCAAGGAGGAGAAGGGGGGCACGGAGCGGAGATGGGGTGGGGGCCGGAGGGCGGCCTTGGGCATCATACATCGCATTCCGAGTCGCTGGAGGTTACCGAGAGGATGGAGGTGCCGGTGTCCACGCGCTCCGCCAGGCTGGACACGCTGGTGGTGGGGCTGGCCGCCGTGGACGGCGACTCTGCCGAGCTGTGCGTGGGGCAGCCCGGCTCGGCCAGTGAGCGCATGCCGCTCGGTCCGATGGCCTGGTGCTGGAGCCTGCGGGAGACAGAGAGCGGCGCCGGCCCTGACACAGCGGCCGACACCAGCTCCTCCAAGTTGCCTCCCTCCCGGAGCCCGAGCTGCCGGGAGCCACGGGGAGCAGGCCTACCCCCGCCTGTGCTCCTGGCCTCCCTGTCTCCTTGCCCTGAGCTACCGCCGCCCCCGACTCCTCTCTCCGAGGCGCGCAGCACCTGCTCCTGCACCAGGCTGTGCCTTGGGTACCGCAGAGCCTCCCTTGTACAGATCCTGACTCTCGTCTGCCCTCCTGGGGGGGCTCCCTGGAGCTCCCTAAGGCTCGCCAGCCCGGCTGGCCTGGGAGGAGAGGTATAACTGGAGACCTGCCGCCTGGGGAGGCCTGGGGCACACACAGCTCAGGACACCGAGCCCCAGTGAGCACAAGTCCGAAAGGGACAGGCAGGTGCTCCTTCCTCCCCAGCCCCTGCTATTCTGAACACTAAGACATCTGCCCGAGAGCAGCCTAGTCGCCCTGTGCCTCCTGCCCTGGTCCCCACACTCCCCGGGTGGCACTGGCTGGCTTTGCTCTGGCTTTGCTCTCTAGAAAGAGCGCAGGAGCGGGGAAGAGCAAACACGGACGCTGGGAGCAGAAAACTGAGGAAAGAGGAGGGACAAAAATATCAGGAGGGAAGTCTAGCCGTCCTGGCTGCCCCATCCCAGGGTAAGCAGCGGCTGCCTGCACGTAGTGTCTCTGAATTTCCCTACGAAGAGGCCTTCCCAATGAAACTGGGCACTGCCCCCCTCGGGCGAAAACTTGGTTCCAAAGGCGGATGAGAGGGCTGAAGGCTCAGGCCTGGGCCACCTAAACCAGAGCACACTCCCTCCCTTCGTGAGCTCACCCCCAGCCCCTGGCCCCCTCACCTGCCTGTCAGCACCAAGGGCCTCCTGTTTCACAGCAGGCCCGGCACCAACTCAGGCTGGCAAGGAGCACAGGCTTCTCACCCAACTCTTCCCTTCCCTCTTTCCTCTCTGTTTCCTTCTCCTTCCTCCATTTTTTTTTCTCTTGGAGTTATTTTTCTTCCCACTTCCCCCAGGCCCATCTCTGCTGATGGGTCCAGCCAGGGACAACTTTGTGACTCTGTGGCCAACTTGCCAACAACAAAACTGCTCCTGCCCACTTTGCAACCCAGTGACCCCAGGGGCTGCACCTCAGCCCAGGAGTCGGCAGGGCTAGCACACACCCCTCGCCACTCCCAGCCGGCTCTCCTGCTCCGGATCAGGCAACTGGCAACGCCTTGGGAAGGAGGGCCGCTGCATGGTGGCCGCCAGCCTCTTTCCTGTGGGGCAGGGACCCAGGTCAGTTCCCTCTCCCTGACTTTTGTGGATACCTCCCCGTGTGTGCAAAGCATGGAAATAAGAACCAGGCGGCAGGCAAGGAGTGCTTTCTTCCCTCTCCTCCCTGTCTGCAGGCTACCACCCGAGGAGCCGGGCCGGAGCTCGGGACCTCTCAGAGGCCGGGACCAGGGACTGTGGGCACTCACACAGGCTCTCTCCACCCAGAGAAAAGACCCTCTAAGACCGGCAAAGCAATCAGTACACATGCAACGTCTGTCCCTCTTCCCTCCGTGCCTGGGCCAGCGGAAACTTTCTCCAACTGGCCAGGGGGCCGAGGCTTTTGGAGAGCAAGCTTGGCAGCCCCTGGCCCCCTGACCCGCCGTCGGCCCCCATTTCAACCCTTCTCCCTCTCCCCGGTCCCCTGAGACAGTAGCCAGGCCGCGGGGCGGGGGAGAAGGGGGAGCGCCACTGACCTGTTCTTGGCCGCCGCGGCGCGGTCGCGCTGCCTCCGGTTCTTGAACCAGTTGCCTACTTGTGTGGGCGTGAGGCCGGTGGCCTGCGCCAGTTCGCGTTTCTTGCTGGGGTTGGGGTAGGGGTCCTGCAGGTACCACTCCCGCAGCAGGCTCCGAGTCCGCTCCTTGAAGCAGTGCGTCTTCTGCTCGCCGTCCCAGATGGTGCGCGGCAGCGGGAACTTCTTGCGCACCCGGTACTTGTCCACGGGGCCGAGCGGGCGGCCGCGCAGCTTCTCGGCCTCCTGGTAGTGCGCCTCGAGCCACATGGCCTGCAGCTTGCCGTGGGACTCCTTGGTGAACTTGTGGTTCTCCAGGATGTGGTAGAGGTCGCGGAAGTTGCCCGTGTGGAAGGCGACCACGGCGCGCGCGCGCAGGATGGACTCGTGCTTGTTGATGGCCTCGCACGCCCCGGGGGCCACGGGCAGCGACCAGAGGAAGCGGCCCAGCCGCTCGATGTCGCCCGTCTCCTCCAGCGTCTCGCAGACGCTGGCCACCTGCTCCGGCGAGAAGTTGAGGGTGGGCAGCTGGAACATGGACAACTCTTCCGGGGGGGGCCTGGAGCCGCCGCCGCCGCCGCCTGCTCCGCCAGCACCGCCGCCGCCCGCACCGGTCCCGCCGCCGCCTGTGCCGCCGCCTGTGCCGCCGCCGCCCGCACCGGTCCCGCCGCCGCCGCCGCCGCCGCTGCTCGCCACAAGTAGGGAGCGGTGGTGAGGATCGGCCAAGTTTGGCAACAAGAAGTGGGAGGAATAGAGGTCTAGGGGGGAGCGGAATACCATGGACTGACCTGGGAGGAGAGGAGAGAATTCAGGGAGAGGAAGAGCGAGGGGAGGAAGAGGAGGAGGAGGAGGAGGAGAGGGGCGCCGGGGACCGGGCGGAGGGAGAGGAGAAGGGGGAGGAGGAGGGAGAGGAGAGGAGGGGGGAGCAGGAGGAGGAGGAGGAGGAGGGGGAAGAGGAAGGGCGTAAGGGACACCCACACCCCACACACATCCACACGCACACACGCCCGCGCAGCCACATAGAGAGGGAGGAGAGGAGAGCGGCCCCGGCGCGCGCGCGCGCAGAGAGCGGACCCCGAGGCGGAGGGAGAGGGAGAGAGAGGGGAGAGCGAGAGGAGGAAGCGCGAGAGCCAACCACCGCCGCCGAGTCAAGATTCAGCGATCCCACAGCAATCGCCCTAATGACAACAGCCTCATAATATCTCCCCTAAATCCACAGTGAGTGCGGCATTGAAACATTTTGTTTCGCTTTTCTATTGGTCTGCGGCGTGTCGTGGTGGGGGTTGCCACGGCAACCGCTGCCAATCACTGTCAGCCCTGCCAATCAATACCCAGAACGTAAGGACGGTTTTACCACTTAGCCAGAGGGGCGGAGGGTGGGGGGAGGGTGGAGAGGAGGAAAAGAGGGAGAAGGGGGAGAATTTTTTTTAAAAAATGTTTGCGACTCTTAATCTCGCCAAGCACCCCCACTTCTCTCTCTCTCTCTCTCTCTCTCTCTCTCTCTCTCTCTCTCTCTCTCTCTCTCTCTCTCTCTCTTCCCTTCTTCCCTCTTCCCCAAAGAAGTTGATCCAGAAATGTAAAAAGCCACGGCCATAGAGTTGTTACATGAGACGAGCAATTTAAAGTGTGAGATTTTTGGGGGGGATGAGCAGCTCCTCATGCTACACGAAGGCCAAGGGCCAGCCCCCAAGGAGAGGCCGGGGAACAGCTGAGCGGACATGGTTTGCACAGGGGCTGCCTCTTTCTGCCCATGTGAGCACTCACAGTGGAGAGGAAGAAAGGAGAGATGAGATCATGGGGCCCACCCTGGTCCTTCGATCTGCTGTGCCCCGGGGTCTGGGATTTCTGGGGACATTTGGTGCCTGGGAGCCCGAGCTCAAAAGCCAGGGTTCTGGAAGCCGCTTTGGCCTTCTCCTTCCTGATTATTGGCCATATTCACCCCAAGGTCCTCTGCACTGGAACTGGCTTCTCTTTACTCTGCCCTCCACCCAGAGAGCCTTGATTTCCCATATTGCCCTGAATTTTTAAAATAGCAATAGACATCAACGGGACACTTCTTCCCATCTTAAAAAGCGACCCTCCTCTTTGTTCCTCCCAGACTTCAGCTGCTTCCTTTGGGAGCTGTGGAGCAGGTTCACAAGCTGAGAAGCCTGGGAGACTGCAACACCCCCCATACCTGTTCCTCCCCCCCAAAAAAAGAAAGTTCTGGGTCTGCCTCTCAGCCCCAGAAAGGCACCCAAATTTTAAAGGCTGCCCCAAAGAAGTGGGTAGGCCTGAACATTGCTTGCTTGCTTGCTTGGTCATATTGTAAAGGAAAAAATAATAATAATACACTGTCACATTTCTCTAAGGAAAATATTATCACAAGCCTCACATAGACCCCACAGGGCCCACAGAATGGAGCGGCCCTCCCTCCCTGTGGTCACTGCAGCCCCCGAACCCAGCAGGAGTATTTATCCTAAGGTATGTCGCTTTTAAGAAGATGTAATCAGCATCTTGAGCTGGGGCCTCCCTTTGTGAAGCTCGTGTAACTATGGAAGTGTGATTTACGCAGATTTGTCCGGGTCAGAGGCGTCTTTCCCTCCCGAGCACTGTGTATATTTAGACAGGGGCTTGGGTTTGGTGTTTAAAAGTGTATATTTTGAATGAGTTCACACACAGTAGCCAACAATGCCCACATTGTCGGCCCGTGTACGACGCGTATTGAAACGCAGCGTCCAGACTTCAACTAATCTGCCCTCAATAAAGCTGACATAATTATCCTAAGCTGCCTTTCCAGAAGAAGAAAATCATTGAGGAATTCAAAACTTTTTTTTTAAAGACCTTTTCTACATTCCGATGCAGATCTGCGAGCGAGGAGGTGCGGGGGCCCGAGCTGCACTTTGGAGATCTCAATGAGGGAAGGGCGATTGAGAGAGAATGTGAATGGGAAAACTAACGTGGCTAGGGCCCCTAACCCCCCAACTCCAGCCCCCCCTAAGGCCCTGACGCCCCAACGCCAGGCCTCCTGGGCAGATAAGCACAAGCTGTGCGGGAGCTCCGTGGCAGCGGAAGCGGGGAGACTCTGGACTGTGTTGGGGGGCCGATACCGGCCCACTGTGCCCGAGGCAGCCGAGGGTCGCTGGTCCTAAATCCAAGGACTGAGGCAGAAAAATATTCGCCCAAAGGGAGGACCGGCCAAGTCCTAATTGGGGTGATCGCACCCTCCACAGCTCTTCCTCCCCGGCCGCGGGTCCTTGTCGGCTCAGCCTCCAAGCCCTGGGCAGTCGTCCCCTGCGAGGCCCAGAAAAGAGCCCTAGGGTTGGGACCCACACACACAAAAAACCAGACACTTCATCTTTTCTGCCCGGTCCCTTTCTCTCCTAGGGAAAGGATTAAAGGCTGAGGGGTGGGAGGAGGAGGAAGGGGCAGGAGGAGGAAGCGGGGGAGGAAGGAATGAAAAAGGGGAGGGGAGTGGGTATTGTGCCGCGTGTGGGGGGAGCATTCCTACGGGTGGGTTTCCGAATATTGTGTTCAACTTTTTTGAAAGCAGCTCGTGACCCCGAAACTGCATCCCCCCTGGAGCCGAGGACCCCGGCGCCGGGCGGGCGGGCGGGTGAGCCCAGCCAGTTCCCCCCCCCCCCCCGCCAACCCCCAAAACCCCCGCCTCCGGGTGGGGGCGACCGGGCCTCTCCCGCCGCCGCTGCGCGGACGGCCCGGAGGGAGGCTGGGCAGGTGCCGCGGGCTCCGCCGAAAGCGCTGACATCGAAAACCCGTCGCCACTCGAGGAGGATGGAGGCAAGTGGGGCTGATACTCCGCCGGGCGATACTCTATCCCGACCTCGGCCGGGGAGCCCGCCGGCCCGCCGCGCCCCGCCGTCCCCGGGAGCGGCCGCGGCGGGCGGGCGCGCACAGCCGGGCGGAGGGCGGCGGCGGGGCGCGCAGCTTTGTGCTCCGGGACGGGGCCGGCGCGGCGGGCGGAACGGGAGCCCGGAGCTGTCAGAGCCGCCCGGCCAAGCCCAGCTCCTCGCCGCCCGCCCGCCGAGCCCACCTTGCGGGCCCACCGCCGCCAGCGCCTCTCCGCTCCGGCCCCGAGCGCCGCGTCCGCCGCCCGGAGCTCGTAAGTTGGGAGCCCCGGGAGCTGGGAGGCAGGCGGGGCGGGCGGGCCTCGGCGCGGCCGGCTGGGCTGGCTCCCGGCGGGTTGGTGCAGGGTCTCGGTCTAGGAGTGCTGACCGGGGTGCGAGGAAGGCTGTGGAGTGCACTGGAGCTTCCCCTCCTAAATCCCCAGGCTCTGAGCGTTGGGGAGGGGGGTAAAAGCAGAAGGACCAGGGCCCAGGCCGCCTCCCCTCAATGCCCCAGGAGCTGGGCTGTGAGAAGGCCGGGAGATGAACGTAGGGGGGCGGCTGGGGGCCGCGTATGGGCTCCTTCACCCAGAGGCTCCGTCAGAGCGAGGAGACGGGGTGGATAGGTCGCCTGCGGGGCCTTCGGGTCTCTCCTGCCGCCTGGCCGCTCAGACTCCTCGGGTCTGGGTGCCCGTACAGGCTGAGGTCACAAAATTGCCACCACCATCCCTGCTCAATTCTTGGCCCGGACGACAGGAAGGACAGTGTACATACAGGTGGTGAGTGCGAGGAGAAAGGGCGTTGGAGCCGGGGAGTGTCTTTCTCTATCTACCAGGACCTACGGGGGCATTTGTTTACACATGTCAGCCCCGACCCCAGCCTTCACCACCCCGCCAGGCATGGAGATGGAGACTCCCATTCCCTCCTTGTTTCGGTTCCACAGGGAAGCCCAGGGGTCTGCCAGCCTCAGGGAGAAGAGGATCAGCGGCCTGGGCAGCTGCACCCACTCCCTGGGCCTTGCTCAGCTCCTTAGGGCCGGTGAGTCCCGAGGGGCGACGCCCCTTCCAGCACCCCGGATGGCGGAGGAGGCGGGGTCCCGCCGGGTGGCCGGCGGTCAGGGCCTCCTCTCCTGGGGAGCCACAACCCGGGGCGTCTGGCCAAGGCGGCGGCGGCGGCAGGCGCGGAGGAGGGCAGCGCTCAGGCGGGGAGGCCGGGAAGACCTTCCAGGACCCCCGATTACTTTCCTCTGAATGGAAAACAACAACAACAACAACAACAACAAACTTCTCCCTCTCTCTGCCCCCGCCCCCCGCCTTAGCCTCTGGGGACCCGAGCTCCAAGCAATTGTGTCCCGGGGGCAGTAAACACGGCTCAGTTGCCTCAACTTTCTCCGCGCACACACACACAAAAAGTTCCCGGCGTGCGTGCGGTGAAATTTGAATATTTGATCAGCCCCTTTTGAGGGACCCTCATTAGCCCGGCGCCCCGCTAAGGCCCCGCCGCTGCAAGAAAGCTCGGCGTTTGTAAGCCTTGTTAGCGCCGCTTCATAGAGCTCCGAGGTGGCCTCCGGGGGCGGGCGGCGGGCACCTCTGCACCCTGCTCCGCCTCCCACCGCCTCCGACCCCCACGTCCTCCAACGGGGAGTTTGGCTCTCTCTTGGGCCACTGCACTTCCCACTGCCAGGCTCAGGAGAGTGGGCACAAGCCCAGCCCAGCCCCAAGAGAGAAAGAGAGGTGAGGGGTAGGAGGACAGGAGCCTCACAGGTTGGGGATTGGATCTTGAGGCCCCTAGGTTGTAGCCCTGGCAATGTACTGCTAACCTGTTTCAAACTGGCCAACGAGTCACCCCAGTGCCTTAAAGAGATGCGTCTGGCCTAGTATTGGCCTGGCAGAAGACAGGTAGGGGAGGAAGGGGGAGAAGAGGGGAGGGACAGCTTTCCACCCCCAAGTTCCTTTGGTCTCCACTTCCCAGGAGGCCACCTCCTCCTTGGCAGGGACCCCCTTCAGACCACCAGAGTTGGTGTGCTGGGACTCGGAACTGAGAAGGGGTGTGCATGTCCACCTCCTCAAACCATCATGGCCCTCGCCGTCCCCAGAACCAAACACAGTCAAACGTTATGCCCCTTGGCAGTAGGGACGGCAAAGTACTACAGTCTACCCTGCCCACCCCACTAGAGAGCCATGACCGCGCTGGTCTCTCTTACATCACGCTCCGGGTCAGCAGAAGGGCTGGAGAAAGTGCTCAGGGACGGTCACCTTGGACAGGGTCAGCTGGCTGCTCGGGTGAGGCTGGGACTGGAAAGGGCCTGAGGGAGAGGAAGGGAGGGATTGCTCTGGATGGAAAGGGGACCAAAGCCACCAACTACTTCCCCTCTGAGGCAAACAGAAAGGACCTTATTAGAAGTTGTGCCACAGTCCTCTTGCAGAGTAGACACTCTACTCTTATGCTCTTTGCCCTGGACAGTTGTCACTCAAGGTCCCTCCTTGTTCAACCAGCTTTGGGGCTTTTAAGGGTTCCTTTTGGGAGACTAATGCACTGGATTTATGGAGCAGGCTGCTCTCAGAGCCACACTCTGGGCCTTCTGGAGGTGCCCCCCCCCATATGCCCACAATCCCTGACATACAGCAGGCTGCCCAGGGTGGCACCCTCAGGACACCATTCCCAAGCCGCCTTCGCTCTCTGCCCAAAGGCCTGACAGGCCCCTGAGGTGGCAGAAACATCTAAGGCCACTGGGTCTGTTCCTCTTTGCTCTCTTCCCCTGCTCAACCGATGTGCCCCCAACCGATTTACCACCCAGGACGCCCTGACTCAAGCCCCAACTGCTGGTCTCTAGAGATCACCTCTGAGCTGGGCAATGCCTTGTCAGGGCCTTGGTTAATCTAAAGGGCAAAGGTAGGACTGGGGAAGGGAGGGGTGTATGCTGTTGGCGAGAAAGGGGACCTGAGGCAGAGGGTAGAACTCAGCTCTGTGGCCCCAAGGCCAGGCCTACGGACTGCTCAGGGGGAGGAGGCGAGGGGAGGGGGCTAGGAGTCCTCGGGCGACGGTCGGGGCATCGCGTGGGGGGCTAGATCCAGAGGAGAAGGGCGAGAGGCGGGAGCCTGGGGGGGAGCGGGGAGGGGGTAGGGGGTGCGGCTTTTTAAGAGCACAAGGCTGGCAGGGAAAGCACGCGGCCCGGTGCGGGTAGCGCATTGACCCGAAGGGGATTTAGAGGGACGGGAGCGGCCGTCACCGGGGGCTTTGTCCGGGCGACCAGAGAGGGCGAAGCGCAAGAATGAGGACGGACCCAGTCCTGAAAGGCCGGGCGGAGGCGGCGGCGCCGCTGCTCTTGACTTCTGAGCGGGGCTTAGCGAGCCGGCCCGGCTGCAGCGGGACCCCGGGCCCGGGCCCTGCGCGCCCGGTCTGAGGGCTCGGAGCCCAGGAGGAGCCGTGGGGAGAGGAGGGGACGGCGGGCTGGCCAGGCACCTGGCAGAGTTGCTCTGGGCTCCACAGCTGCCCACGCTAGTGCAGAGCTGCGGGCGCGCTGGACGCGCGGCGCTGGGCAAGGCCAGAGAAAGAATTTTCTTTTTCCAACTTTTGTCTTTTGGTTTTGTCTCCAGTTCCAGCGGCTCCGGAGCCTGCGGACCCCAAAGGGAGTCTCAACAGGTGGCCGGGTAAGTCCATTTAAGAATTCTGGGCATACCCGCTGCCCCTCCTGGCCCCCTAAGCGGTCCCTGGTCCCCTCCCAGTGTCCCCGTGGCCGCGTGGATTCCCTGTGCTCCTCCCGGGCCCAGACGGGAGGAGGAAGGGGGGGGTTTGAGAGGCGCCCTCACCCTGGGTGCCCTTGGGCTCCCAGTTTCAGCCCAGGACCGCTGGCCGGCGCCCTCGAGAAGCTTCTCCCAGTACCCCCGGGTCCCGATCACCTTTAGTTCCGTTATAGACGCTGGCACCACAAGTTGGGGGGTGGGGGTGCGGAGGAGCATCACCGACTGGAAGTGGGCGGCCTGGGCGGGCAGGCGGGGGGGCTCCGTGGCCGTGTGGCCTTAGGGGGCGGTTATAACCCAATATACACCCTTTTTTATGGGAGATCTGGGATCTCGCCCAGGGAGCCCTCACCGGCTGTACAATAGCCCGCAGCAGCAGAGCGCCGCGCCAGGCAGCTGGGGGTGGGGGTAGGGTGGGGAAGTGGAGGTGGGGGAAGTGGAGGTGGAGGTGGGGGAGCAGGAGGAGGGGGGAGGAGGAAGCAGAGAAAGGCAGAGGCATGAGATCCCGGGTGTCCTGGCGGAAAGTGGGGAACTGTCCTCAGAGCCGCGCGCACACGCTCTTTGTCACACACACACCCGTACACGCACTCACAGCCACCGAGCAGCCCAAGCCCCGCCAAGCAGAACCCTCCCGCCGGGCGTCCGGTGCCCCGAGAAGGACGGGGGGAGCTAGGAGGACCCCCAGGGCTGGGGCGCGGGGAAGAGCTTACCTGCGGCAAGGTAAGGGAAACCAGGAGCCAGAAGCAGCGGCGGATAAATATTCATTAGGAAGCGCGTCTCCTTTTAAACCACGCGGTGTGCGCTCTCGCTCCTCTGCCTTTCCTCCCTCCCTCCCTCTGTCCTCTGCCGAGGCTCTCTCCCTCTCCGCTCAGTCTTCCCCCCACCCTCCCCACTTTCCTGCGGAATGCCCGCTGGATCCCCGTTCTGGCTGTGGGAAGGCTGCGCCTCCGGGAGAGTCTTCCTTCACAGCTGTTTGTCTTCGCTCTTGGGGCACGCATTCCCCACCCGCCCTCCCTCGGGTCGCCCAGCCCCTGACCCCCTCCTAAATTACTACACCATTAGCTTTATTTTCCTGTGTGTGTGTGTGTGTGGGGGGGGGGTTACCCGACCTACCCCAAAGCTAGCCAAAAACTGGTGCTCTCCGAGGCTGCCCCAACTCCATCCCCACGCTCGCTCCCACCCACATCCTCATCCAGTCCTGTCCCACCACTTTCCTCTCTACCTCCATCCTCTGCCTACCCAACTTCACCACCCCCTCCCTCTCCCTCCGCCTGCAATCGGGGCCCCCAGGTGAATGGGCAGTGACAGGCCAGGGCTGTAGGTACAAGGATTCCGCACTGGTGTGGGGTAGCCCTCTTTCCCACGTGGGTTTTCCCACCTGACACTCAGTGGGCACCTGGGCAGCTTGGGGTTAGGACCAGAACACGGAGGCGCATATCCAGGGTCTCACCCCGCCAGGCCTCAGGGTGCCTGTCTTAGCCCTGTGGCGGGACTTGAGAGGCTACATGCATTTGTGCAAATAAACGGGAGAGTCAGACCAACAAGCCTTCGAACTGATGATTGCTTTTTACCAACAAACTGACCCGAAGTTGGTCGCAAGTTCGCATCTTTTTCTCTCACGCTTCGGGGAAAACACAGCTTCAGGATCCCGGGAGCTCACAAACCTTTTCCGAGAACCGCTTCCAGCCGCTAGGGAGCACCGCACCCCTCCTCCCCGCATACCCCCACGCTCCCGGGGCTGGCGCTCCGGGACCGGAGACCTGGAGGCCCGCAAGGTCGCTCCGGATGGAGAGAGACATCCGATGGACGGCCGCGGCCAGCATCCTTGGTCGCTCTCCTTTCCGCTCCAGGTGCCTAGGCCCCCTCCAGGGCTCTGAGGGACGGTGTGGTCCCCAGGTGCTTGGGGGTGGTCGGGGCTCATGCAGCCGCTAAGCTGGGCGCCCGAGGTGGGGGTGGAGGAGGGGCCGAGGGGGCGGGCCCAGGCCAGTTCCCAGTTCCCAGTAACGCTGCTCTGGGGAATCCCGGGGGGAGTTCGGCTCCCAAACACGCATCCTCCCAGGACTTTCTCCATCGGGTCCTACACCTTCCCCAGGTTCTCGGAAGCGCAAGCGGCCTTTTGGTGGCCTGGGGACGAAGGGTGCGGTCTCGAATCTCTCGCGCAACGTCTCCTCCCCCATTTGGCCTGGTCCTTTGGGACCGAAAATCCACACCCCCCCCCCCCCCGACGTCCCAGAGGCTCTTTCCACCCATCCGGCAGGGAGCGAGGAGCAGAATCCTCGCTGGGTCTCCCTCCTCCTGGAAGGTTAAGAAGCTGCGCAGTTGAAGGTGGAACAGGCCTGGAGAGTCCTGGGTCAGAGAAGCTTTATCCACCTTGCACCTCACCTAAAGCCCCCAGTTCACGCTTGCACATCTATACCTACTCTGCAGCAGACAAGCAGGTTGCACACATCTGAGCTCAGGCTTAAGCTGTCACTTTTACTGGACGCGGGGTGTGCAGGCAAATTGTACGCAGACACACGAGAGTATTAGGAGAACACAAGCAGCAGAATTTGAAGAAAAAAAAAAGTGTCCCCAGTCAGAATGTTCCAATGCACGGTGCACGCCCAGTTCTCCAGATGCAGACAAAAGCCTCAGTGCCCGCACCGGTGACCCCGGCCCCGTGGGCAGATGCACAGGAAGCCACACACAAGGGGAATGGGCCGAGCGAGGATGCAGGCCCCCAAGCCCAGGGCTTCCTGCTAGAGGGACCTTTGCTCCTGACCGGGAAACTTTGTTGAGCCGACTGGGTGGAAGATTTGGGGTCACTAGACAGGCACCTCAGCCACCCCAAAGCCAACCCTTTCACCTTCCTCAGCCGGGCTGGAGACGCCCAGGAGAAGGCGGTCCAGGAAAGGTTCTTTTTGCCCCATTATTTGTTTTTTTGTTAGGAGACCGATTCTGCGGGAGGGTGGAGTAGAGAGCGCATGCCTAAATCCTAACTGGACCTTGAATGGAGCTCCAAAGGTTGAAGAAAGGAAGGGATCTTATTTTGCCCCTTTTCACTTGTCTTAACCTAAATATAGTCATTAAAAAAAAGCAAAAAAAACCTGAGCTGGGCTCCACTCCCTCTTGTCCTCGCTGCCATTCCAATCCCTTTAAAGCAAACAATCAGCAATGAACACCCTAAAGCAGACTGAATTATTTAGTTTAGTAAACTAATTTTTATTTTGGTGAGATACAGAGAAGTTATCATCCACCCCCCCCCACCCCAACACACACACACACCACACACACACACACACACACACACACACACACACTCTCCCATCCTAGACATTGCCTACTATCCCCACCGGGCTGGGGAGTAGGGTCCCCAAATTCAGGAGGAAGTGCACAGGCTTGTTTGTGGTTTCAGTTTGTGGTTTCCCATTTGCCTGCCCAGTTCCAGTGAACCTTGCAGGGTGCAGACAGTAGCCAACATAGTTTCTCTGCGGAAGAGGCAAGCACATTTGGGCGCAATGGTGCCCTCCCTCCCCCTTCACTTCCCTTCCGATTCTGTCTCTGAAAGTAGAGGGCAAGTCTGGGGAAATTCTTTTAGACAAAAAAAAAAAAAAAAAAAAAAAAAAAAAAAGGTAGAAGTAAAAGGACTTTCTGGGCCAGCAAGTTTGATGTCACACCTTCCAAGGGGCAAAGGAAGGTCCATCCCGCACAGAACAGACACACCAGTTGAAAGCATGGCAGGCAGGTGTTTGAAGTTGCCCTAGGAATGGAGGGGGTGTGGGGTATGAGTAGGAAATCATTTCTTCCCTATTGTAGGCAAATTCTGCCCCCCCCAGATACACTGAATTCCTGGAAATTTTAGCAAGAGTTTATTTTTGTAGCTGTTTTGAACAATAAAGAGTAAAATGTCACTTCAGAGTCCATTAATCTGCTGTGGGAGGGCAGTTTCTTCCAAGACGTTTTTTCTTTCCTCAGGTTTGATTTTCCCATTTCCCCAGTCAGAGTCCACTTGCTGACTCACCTTGGAAAGAGACTGCGACAGAAGGAGAGACGTGAGTGAGGAGACCACACTCCTGAACCCAAAGTGTAAATTCCATTCCTGGGAGTGAAGGAGATTCAGGACAATCAGGGCAATCCACCTGGGGGCATTTCCCCCCTCTATAGGCAGTTTATTTAGAGCCTTTTCAGTCATAAGTAACCATCAGCATTTTAGAGTTGGAGACATTTGCGATTACTGTACTTACCAATGAATTCTACTAAATTCTTCAAACTCCGTCTGATTTATCAAACTGTGTGGACATAGCTAAGATCCTTGCAACATTTATCAATCAAGTAGAAAAGTAGTTCGTTTTCTCATCATCCCAAAAGTCACAGTATAGTCACTGATGCAAATTTTTAAGTTTTTCTTTTTAATGACAGTTGATGCTATTACATCATGTTATATTAGCTTTATGTGTACCATAGGGATTAGACATTCATATTACTTACCAAGTGATCACCCTGATAATGGAGCGAATTTTTTTTTCCTGTTTCCTAAATGCCCTTGTCACCTTTGCCGGAGCCACAGGGCCTCAGGGCAAAATCTCTTAGGTTTGTTACCTCTTGAGTAGGGCCTACTGTGTTGTTAGGTTTGTTTCTTAATGATTGTGTAAGGTGTGAGCATTTCTCTCTCTCTCTCTCTCTCACTCTCTCACTCTCTCTTTCTCCAAAATGAGCCCGATAGAAGCTAATCATTTCTGCAAGGCACTGAGCAAAGACCTGAACATTCAGGGTTGTGGGTGGGGAAGGGGGGGCTTGCGGGTGGGGGAGGGGATAGCCATCCCCTCAACTGAAAAATAAAATAATCCTTAATACCCCTTTAATTCCTTCTATTTAATAGTGTCAATGCTCCGGAGACGCCGCCGTCTCACCTCCAATCTTCACCCACAGAGGGCCCAGGCTTTCAGCCACATCCCAACGGTGCACCCGCCGCTCACCTCCCACCCGCCCGCCCGCCCGCCGGAGAGGAGGTGCTCCGACGGCAAAAATCCCATACATTTTTAACTACAGTGATTACTAAATTAATAGCAGGCACACAGACAGATGTCAAAACGTCTCGAAAATGTTTATCTGTGAATAATTGAGAAGGTGGTGGGACGCATTATCTGATTGCGAGATGAAATATGTATGAGGAACAGCTGTTTGCAGAGCAGCCCCCTCCCGCCCCCTCCTCCGCGGGGCCCGTCCCTTGCAGGCAGGAGTCGCGGCGGAGTTGGTCGCCCACGTCCCTCCGCTCGGAACCCGCTCTGCCGGTCCCGGCCCGCTGCGGAGCTGGACTCCGGCGCGCCCGGAGCCACCCGCTTCCCGGAGCGAGGACGCCCGCGTGAAGTCGCCTCTCCTCCGCCAGGCCCTTTGGGTTTTGGTGGCGGCGTGAAGCTTGGCTGCCCTCGGAGCCTTCGGGTGGGCCGCGGACTCGGCCTGCCAGGCCCAAGGAGAGCCGGGGCCGGGGCAGCGGAGGCCCGGAGCCCGGGGCGCCCGCTGGGCAGGGCGGCCTGCTCGCTGGAGAGGGCGGGGGCTGGGCACCTCGGCGGGGCGCGCCTGGGGTCACCGCGGGGCGACCCGGCTCTCCAGCGGGCTTTGTTCCCGCTCCGGCCACACCGCGCTCTTCCTCCCAGCCCCCCTCCCGGCCTCCCCGCCCGCCCGTGTTCCTCCAGCCCCGCGCCCTGCGCCGCCGGACGCGCGGGCTGCCCTCGGGGCCGATCCCTGAGTCCTGGCCCCGGAGGAAGCGGAATTGGGGGTGGGTGGGG